TCTTTAAATATTCAACATGCTTATGAACTGTCAATTTCTGTGCGATCGTAATGATTAAAAATGAATTAGCATTCAGCGAAGTGCAATCACATCATATACTGTATGTAATAAATTCATATCGATATCACATTTTCAATTCGAAATCATATTACATAATGAATTTAATAAAGCTATTTTCTATGTTAACATATTAGTCGAACTCGTAAGTATTGTAAGTATTGGATAACCAATATTCTTTTTTATACTATCATTGTTATTGTAAAATCTGATGCTACTAATATAAATAGTTAATGCTAAAACTAAATACATCCACATGCAAATAAAATTTGCAGCTCGAATTTTACATGCTGTTTCGATTATTTTAGATGCGTATGGGTAGCGTGGCGGACAAACAAATGGGATTGGATCGATTTCATGTATAGTGCCAATTGTATATATGACTTTCTCAAATTAAATTGAAAATTAGTTTCATTAATGAGATCGCAATTTACTTTACATAACGATAAGAACTCACCCGGTAAAATTAACCATGCAAATAATAATATTATAAAAATAGTTCTAAATGTGTTGTACATTGAGTAGTAGTATATATAGCAGTAAAAGAATTCAACTTGCAGATCTTCGATCGACTATTGAAAGATAAAGAAAGACCTTTTCGCAAATTTTTTAAATATAATCACTTATAATTTTGCGAAAAACTTTTTAGACGAATCTCAAAAAACTAACGTCAACCCATTATTGGGAATCAATGCTAAATATTAAATCAAGTTGAAGTTTTCAAACCATTTGGTTAAAAGGTATTGGATTATCGCATTACCCAGCTAGCTAGTTATTTTTGTTATTGAAATCTGAAAATAAAATTATTACAGAAGACTTATTTTATTATAATTTGAAATATACAGACTGATTTATTATATTAAGATTGGAAAGAAGTTTTATAATCCAACTTTAATGTTCCTATTGATTATTCAAATAGAACTTTTAAAATCGAAATTAATCAAGAATATTGATTATATTTTCTCTTTATTAAATTGTTTTATAGATGCTTTAGCCATTGTTTTGTAGAGCACTATACTGGATAATAGAATGTGAATGATATCAGAAATGGCAACAACTTTGAATAAAAATTATAAAAGCAAAAAATTGATTCATTGATTAAATTGAAAGATTTATAATTTTAACTTAGAGTTATTCAATTAATAAAATTTTATTTAATAAAAGCCTAAATTATGTTGATAATTTTGACAGTCAAAAATTGAATATTAAAGATTGTAATAAACTTAATGAAATTATAATGACTTTGTTTGAATTAGCTTTTATTATATAATGTTTTAAAAACAAACTGTTAACTTTACAATTTTATTTTTACTCTATAAAGCATATGATACAAAAATATTAAAAAAAGTAATAACAATACAATTTAACTCAATACTTCTAAATTGGTTTAACTAATTCTATATTTTAACAATACATCTGAAACTATTAAAAAGAATTTTTAAAAAGTAAATATGAATAAAATGATTTCGAATAATTTCATTTCGATTGAAGAATCTGATGTTTTTCAAAATATTGAACATATAAATGGAATATCAGTTTTTATCCCACAAGGTTACTCACCAATTCTTATTCGCGAAGATGCTACAAAGAAATTGAAAACAATCAAGGAATTGCTAGAACTAAATATATGTGTTCCAGCCTTAATCTTTAATCCTGTAAAATGTCTATTAAACGCCTTTAGGCCGTTCGAAGTTAATTCTTCGGTTAACATCACCTTTAGAACTCTTGGAGAGGGGTGGGGTAAAATGAAACGAACATATAAAAATGGGCCAATTTCATTGGTCGACGTAAATCAAGTAATTGGCGAAAGTTATCTAGCATTTTGATTGGTTGTTCGTTTACCGGGCGAAGACTTCAGCAAAGGGGGGGGTGATGTTAACCAAAGAATCAACTTCGAACGGCCTAATATCTATTTAATTGATCTAAAAAGCTCATTAATGTCTATTTAATTGATTTATTTAATTTATTTTAATTCCTAATAGGATGAATGCATTATATAGACAGCAGTAAACTATTGAAAAAATCTTTGCAGCTGGGTTATGAGCAGTTCACTGGCATTTTCAGAATTAACAATTCTTGTTCATAGTATTTTGTTCATTCCTACGACTATTTTTTTTTTACAATTAACAGTTTTTATATTGGCTTTTTTTTTTTGTAAATATATATTTTGTTTTGGGTGTTTTTATTTTTTTTGTCGTCTATCAGAAATCCTTCTAATCTTTCATTTTTCTACTTGGCTGGCGAGAATACAACTCAAAAAATAATAAATAAAGGAAGCAATTTTTGATTCATGCAAACACTTAAAAAAATTGATTTTATAGTTCCTTTATAAATTCATGTTTCATTTAACCTAAAGATTAGAGTTTATAATAGGGTCAGGTTTGCCTGGGCCTGAATCCTTTATATATAAATCATTTCATTCTCCGATGGCATCAAGATGCCGTCAGAGAATGAAATGACGATTAGTTTTTGGTGATATATGTTATACTGTAAGATCTCCTGTTTATAGCGATAAGAAACTTGTTTTAACAAGTTTACAATAAAACAGAAAAATTGCATATTCTAAACTTGTTCGCCCATACAGTATATATGTTGTATAAATGTGTTGGCAATGACAAAATTTATGATTTTGATTGGCTGAACTAAAATCTTTACAAGATGACGTAATTCGTGACTACATCACACGTGATACAATAAAATCTTATTGGTTGATGTAGATCAATTTAATTCCAGTCAGAATTAAAGTATATTAACTCCGGCCAGAATTAATATCCTAACCCCAATCAGAAGTAATCTTCAGACCTTTTAACGAAAATAATCACGTGAGTATTTAAATTAATACCAATGAGTAGATTTATTTATAAGATATTGATGTAATTAGAACAGATATAACATCCTAAGGTCTAGGTTATATTGGAGCGATTCAATATTGACATTGTTCATATTCGAATGTAGTTTTATTAATAAATAAAGCTCACTTATTTTTTTTGTTTTTTAGTTGGTTTCTTTTCAAGGGGCTTAATTTTAGTTAGGTGCTACTTTAGATAAATCGCTACTTTAGATGCAATATATACATTTGGCACCTTTAAAAGTGTAATTCTTTATCAGAGCATTTTTATTTGAATACGCGTCACGTCACGACATAAAAAAAAACTAGAGATAAATTACATATGTTTTCCTTCATCCATTTAATTGAATTATACTATAATATATTACATGAAACGATTGATCTACAGCACATGATCTGATATAAATTTCATGTAAAATGGATCGACATTGTTTACATTTAACAAAAAATGAATAGATTTGCAAAAATTTTTAAGTCATTTGCAAACAAAAATAAAGAACCCAATAGAATTGAAGAAATATTCTTATATGAGTTCTTACTATTTTGCCAAGAGACCCTTGTGGAAAAATCCGAGACACTTATTTAAAAAGATAAGTCAACTGTACACCAAGAATACTATAACGGAATTAAAAAAAAATAGGTATTATTGAAGAAATTTATCAAATTCATGTATGTAAATTCATGTAATTACAATTTTTTTGCATATAGACAGTCAAAAAACATGGGCAAACTTAGCAAGAAAGACCTAGAAAATGTATTAAACTTATATAAAGTAGATGTACTGATAATTATACTATTATGCGATGTTTTGAGCGCTATGATTGAAACACAATATATGAATCTTCCGAGTAATTTACTCGATTACTCAATTATAAATTTTCTAAGTTATCTTAATTGTAGCATATCGTATTTGAGTTATTACTTCGTGCACTTGGATTACATTTATAATTTTTGGAAGATACCAAATAATCTTTTCTAGATGATGCATGCTGTATAAATCTTCCAAGTAATTTACTCAATTACTCAATTATAAATTTTCTAAGTTAGCATGTCGTATGTGAGTTTGTACTTCATGCACTTGGATTACGTATATAATTTTTAGAATATACCAAGTAATCTTCCCTAGATTATGCATGCTGTATGTGAAATATTACATCATGCACTTGGATTAAATTAATTATTAGATTATTCACATTTGTTTGGATATTTCAGAGTGAATTAGTGAAAACTATTATCGTCTACATTACATTTTGCAATATATTGATTAATTTAAGTCAATTATTTACATGTAATAGACAATACATACCAAAGGATATTATCCAATTCTCGGTTTTTGGACTGGTGCTAATATTAAACAAACAAGTGGTTTTATTAAGAGATCTTGACAGAATAAACGAAGATAATGTGGGGCCTTTGCTATGATTTTTTTTTACTAAAAATAGATTTGTTATGATTTTACTAATTAAAATCTTGTGTAACAATAGCTCGGAGGGTCATTTTGTTAGCAAAAGCCCCATGTGATTATTGTTTACAAAAGTACCAAATTTTGCAAGGTTAATAATCGTTACTAAAACTAATAATAGACTACAACAAATGAAATTAATAAACAAATAAAGTACGTGTTTAATAATATCACGAGATCCCGATTGGGCAGAGTTAAAAATAGAAAAACTCGGCTTCAAATTGAACTGAAAAATATAAAATAATTAATACTTGAAAAATGTAATCAGAAATATATATAGAGAATTTTTTAAAATTTAATGCTATATTTACCATATAAACAAAGCCATCCGACATAGTTCATATAAGAAAATAAACTCGTGTTAATCGATAAATGACAAATACTGTTGGATTGTAAATTCCTACCCCGTTCCAAGTCACGAGTTTTCTTATTTTATTTATTTTTAGTTATTTCTTTATATAGCATTTTTTTACTATTTAGTTATATCTGTATGTAGTTATTTATTTGTAATTCGTCCTGCTCATGCCCTTGTTTACGTTTAAGAACCGTGGTAGCTACGAACATAAACATAAGAATGAGCAGTTGGGGCTAACACTAAGCCGAATATTCGAATAAGCCACAAAAATTAGTACTATGAGCAGTGTGGCTTTGTGTTACTATAGGATGGATGTGGCAACTGTTCAGGAAAAAGTAGGCGACTGCTCATAAAGATCTCAAAACACTTTTATCATTCCTTAGTATAGCCTTCGCGAATAAACTTGTATAAATATAGGTCCTTTTCGCCTTTCCAAAAAAGGACCAGTTATGAAGAAAATTACTAAGAAAGTTCTAAATAAATAACTCATTAACACTTCTACATCATCTTAAACATTAAATTACCTGACTTCGCTTAATAAGTAATCGTTCCCTAATTACGTTAAACTGTCTTTGCATATGAATATACGCTGGGTCTCCTATTTAACATAAAGGAAGTAAGCACTGAGGCCGAATAGACCTTTCCCTGAATGAATAAGAGCCATATATTATATAATTATATAGTTTATAAAGTGTACTACGTATACACAGGACGAACTATAGAGATATCAATCAGAATCCTGAAACACGTATTGATAAAAATTAATTATTACGACTATTTATTTAGATCACTCTTAAAATATCGTTAAGACTAAAATCACTCCTACTTTAGAGGTTGGAACCGGTTTGCGGATTTGAGTTTAAATCCGGGTTAACCCGATTCGAATATAAAACCGGGTTTTATTTTTTCTAATTCAAAAATCGAATTTATTAAAACCGGTTGTTTCGCAAAAGTCGGGTTTAATAAAACCGGTTGTTTCGTAAAAATTGGATTTAATAAAACCGGTTGTTTCGCTAAAATCAGATTTAATAAAACCGGTTGTTCCGCAAAAATCGGATTTAATAAAGCCAGCTGTTTCGAAATTTTTGTTTTCATAAGGATGATTATTTGGATAATTTGATTTGGCATATATTTGACTTTGGAAGTAAATATATCATGATGTATAGTTTTTAATATATATCTGAACTACTACGTCAACATATTTAAAATAAGTTTCGCTTGAATGCATGTCCAGTACGTTTGGTGTATTTAATCTGAACGAAAATTTATAGCAAGTTTTTTCCTCCAAACAAACAGATCTTAATGAAAAATATAAAAAGGGTTACGAATGTATGATAAGCTTTTATAATAAATATATTACAGGGTAGGTGCTAATAAAAAAAAAAAGCCTCAATATGAACAAGAATTTATTGAAAAAAATATAACACAAGCTATAATTACAAACAACCAAGATTTTATTAATATTTGTCAAAACTGCATTGAGAATTATAACCAAGGTCAAAATAAAAATTTATGTATTATTTTAAAAGGTTTAATATAAAATTATTATAAAATATTGGTCAAAAAAAAAACTAGTATGAGAGTATTCCCAAACGCCTAAATCAATTGATCGGAAATAAAATTTTAAATAGTCGGGAATCAAAAAAATTGATCAAGTTAATTGCTGAATTGCCGCTTTAATGAAACAAGTCTGGAGGCGCAGACCATCTTTTTCCATCGAGTTAACGCTGATTGGCTAAAGCTACCTGATAGAGTAAAAAAAGATATTGTTCAAGCACTTTGCTTTATGTCATGGATCTTCAGCGAAATTTAATCATCAAAAATTATTACGTTGCTTTTATATTAGAAACTCTTATCGCTAATAAAAATCAAAAGGCATGCATGCCAATATTTATTATCTTCTAATTTTTATGTCAAGTGCGGCAATTTCATTTTTTTTCACTAGGAAAATTTTTTGTATTCAATTACTTCATTATTGCTTGTGTTAGCTTTGTTCGAAGCTAAAGACGCAAAAAGTTGCGAATTTTAAGTCATAAAGGAGAAATTGAGGCACTTGATGTTGCTGAAGTTACATTTATTTGTTGGAATGTTGCCAAAGAGGTTGCTTTGTTTATTGGATAGTCACCTTTTTTTGCTACAATTTGCTGAAGCATAATACTGTAAATAAAGCAAGGATGGCCTGCTTAAGTAACGACCGCAATCATTATTTCGATCAATTGTAATAACTGAGCATCACCTCAAAACACATTGAGGGAGTTGCTTGAGAACGCCCTGAATCAGATGAAAATATTGAAACGGTTGATCTAACAATTAAAGATGTTCATTTATGATAAACTTTTTAAAAATGCTAGCTTATCTGAAGTAACTACAGTGAATCTGAAATGTCCAACTTGTACAGCTAATATGCATACAATATTGGGCGAATAACGGCACGTGTAGTCAATCATTTGCCAAATTACCGTATGCCTAATATTGGTGTTATCCAGCCGTAGGAAGACTTTCGTATGATTGGCTGTTTAAATCAATTTAATTTTACATTATTTATACAGTTTAAAGTACTTTTTAA